TGATTAATAATGTGACCCATCAATTCATAGGAAGAGATTCTGATACCTTTCCTCACTTTGAGCAGCACCTTACTCCATGAGTAGTGCCTGTTAAATACATGGACTGCTAGTTGAATAAGGTGCTTGTCAACATGATTAGGCATATTAGAACCTGACAGTGTGAATATAACTTGGGGCTTTCATTTGTGGAAATACTGGTGAATTAGGTTTTTTCCCCCTCACTTCTCAACAAATTAAAAACCAATCATCATCTGGATTTTCCCTACCACACCCCATGAGCTACAAGCTGCAATTGTTTGTTTATTTAGAACCTGGGTGGGTTTACACTACAGTTCCCAGGTAATACACTGGATGCATCTCAATCAGAGGGCATTTCAGACATCTGGGAATGTTCCCTATTATTAAGGGTGGTTCTTGTCATTGCACAAATGTAGGAGATTGGCTGAAATAAAGAAATATCATATCGTTGTCTCTATATGTTATGCATGATCCATTACAAAGAAAGTGGAGGTAAAATCTATCATGTCAGCATTACAAAAAATATACATCATTTCCCCTTATCACGTTGAACTGAATTGCATCAGTTTTCTATTAAATGAACTATTAGTTATTCCTAATTCCATTTTCAAATAACTGATTCCAATCCAGTCATTCCTAACAACAAGCCCATAGTAGCTGCAGCCAGTCCCAAAGTTAATAAATGGAGTTATTTGTGCACTGGCTCTCAACAGTTGCAAACTGAGGCCATCTGTTGGAATCGAACAGCATTGCAGTGAAGCCTTCAATGTTTCCTTGTACATGGATGTAATGACAATATTTGAATGAAGGGCTGCCATGATTCCCCCCCCCCCCCCCCACCTATGTCCGCGGGGTGCATTTATTTGGAAAAGGGAAAAATGAGTGATTGGAAAATCTATTTGCGTTCTTATTTAAACAAAAGCAGTTTCCCACACATAACCATTACCAGGCCCAAGGAGAGAGGCAGAAACTCTTGGCAAGCAGACTTATCTTAGATGCAAATCATGGGAAATGCTTATACATTTCAGAGTAGCAGCCGTGTTAGTCTGTATCCGCAAAAAGAACAGGAGTACTTGTGGCACCTTAGAGACAAACAAATTTATTAGAGCATAAGCTTTCGTGGGCTACAGCCCACTTCTTCGGATGCATATAGAATGGAACATATGTTGAGGAGATATATATACACACATATAGAGAGCATGAACAGGTGGGAGTCGTCTTACCAACTCTGAGAGGCTGAGCCATTACAAACATTGAATCTATCTCCCCTTGTAAGTATTCTCACACTTCGTATCAAACTGTCTGTACTGGGCTATCTTGATTATCACTTCAAAAGTTTTTTTTCCTCTTACTTAATTGGCCTCTCAGAGTTGGTAAGACAACTCCCACCTGTTCATGCTCTCTGTATGTGTGTATATATATCTCCTCAATATATGTTCCATTCTATATGCATCCGAAGAAGTGGGCTGTAGCCCACGAAAGCTTATGCTCTAATAAATTTGTTAGTCTCTAAGGTGCCACAAGTACTCCTGTTCTTTTTGCTTATACATTGTACCTGATAAACATACTGGGTGTGTTGATACTACAGGGGAGTATCCAGCTTGGAAGTTCAAGGTTTTGCAGGGGATCCTCTCCCAGGAAGTTTGTTTTGACAACACCTAGTTCAATGGGCGGTACCCTAAAGACAAACATTTGCTTTCCAGAAGTGTTGTTGAGTCCCAGGGATAGGGTACCTCTGGCAGGGATGATTTAACAGCGCCCAGACATGGGGAGAATCTCTCAGTGTCAATCCAAATTCCTCTGTAACCTGACGGTGCCCTCTTGAGAACAGCCTGACTAGAGTGGTGCAATACAGCAGAGCAGGGGTCGGCAACCTTTCAGAAGTGGTGTGCCAAGTCTTCATTTATTCACTCTAATTTAAGGTTTTGCGTGCCAGTAATACATGTTAACGTTTTTAGAAGGTCTCTTTCTATAAATCTTTAATATATAACTAAACTATTATTGTATGTAAAGTAAATAAGGCTTTTAAAATGTTTAAGAAGCTTCATTTAAAATTAAATTAAAATGCAGAGCTCCCCTGACCGGTGGGCAGGATCTGGGCAGTGTGAGTGCCACTGAAAATCAGCTTGTGTGCCGCCTTTGGCACGCGTGCCATAGGTTGCCTACCCCTGCAGTAGAGAATCGGGCCCTTTGTGACTGATTTGCAAAGGCTAGGGTGCTGGACATCATTACGAGAGTGTAGGTAGATTCTTAAACCAAACGCTCAGATAGCAAGTTCTTTTCTTGTCTCCATTTGCAGCTTTATCATTTTGGGCCAAATGCTGATCTCAGTTACAGGGTGTAAATCCAGAGTAATGCCTTTGGCTTCGGTGGAGCTTATTTGGCATTGCACCTGTGTTCATGAGAGCTGAATCTGGCTATGTGAGTCTAGTTTGATCCCACTGTTTGATTATAGTCAAACTTTTCTACTCTCTATTTCTGAAGTTTGCTCTGTTCAGTTTAGCTTAGTTTCACTTACATTCCCCAGGTTCTCTGTTTCTCTCACATGCTCAGACACTCTGACACCATATTCTTTTGCAAATGCAATAAAAGTTATTTTTTTCATACTCCAGAGCATGAATAGACACGTTGCTGGTAGCACATGGTAATAGTTAGATAGCAAAAGAGACAAGAAATTTTTGTGTCTGAAGAACATAAAAATTCGGAAGTCAAAAATCATTCCTCCGAGGAGTGATGTATTATTTAGACAATGGGTCTGATTTTCCCCTGCACTGAGATGCTTTGCATTGTCCCACCAACAGAAAGCAGCCCTAAGGCTGATGTAGCTAGCCAGGGAATGCTTGCTGTGATGTGTCAGAGCCACCTGTTGTGACATAGACCCAGTATATCTGATCCTTGGCTACCCTCTTCCCAGCCCGCCGCATAGCTTCCCAACCGCTGAGAAGAGGGTGGACCCAATCATATTCTTTTCCCCTTGGGAAAAGGGGTATGACCAAGGGAAAAGGGCATGCCTGGGGGCGGGCTCCCCATATTAGCTCCTTAGGGAAGTTGGCAGCTAGTGCAAATGATAGCAGCTGCCAGCATTTGGCCCTCTAATTGACACCATGGGATGGGACTGGCCCACAGACAGCTAATGGTTGGAAGGTTACATAGGTGACTTAGAGCCAACTTTGTGTGCATACACACCCGCGTACACGCACCCTTCCTTTGTTGTGCTGTGTGCTTCTCAGCTACAGACCATGACCCGAGCCACTGAATTCCCTTTCCAGGGGGTGAGGCTGACAGAGCGGTTCTCCTGATCTGAGCAGCTTGTGCAGAGAGGCTTTGCATCATCAGTATCTCACAGAGCTGAGCGCACAAGTCCCTAGGCTCTGCCACGAGCAAGGAAGCACAGGAGTAGAAGCGTGGCCGGTGGGTGGGCTGATCCACCTACACAGCCCCCACCAGGGCAGGTGGAAGCTGAGGCAGCAGTAGTGTCTGCAGAGCGCTTGAGGTGGGGAAATTGGTTCCTCCCCCTTTCCCACAGAACTCCCCCACCTCACACAGCACGTCTGAGCGCAGGGACGAGGGGTTTGGCCCATGGTGAGTAGGAATCGGGCTTCAGTGGCTTGTCGATTTCTGTGGAACGCAGGGAGTTGACTCCTCGTCCAAATGCCATCTGTGTGAATCATGTGACTTTGTAAGCTGCTGCTTATGCTTGTCAGGGAAAGTGCCACGCTCTGCTATTTCTACTTGAGAGTTTTCCTCATCGTTTGTGTGTGATTAAGAATAGGCCGTATTTTCCCCATAGCCAAATACAGTTTGACTTGGCACAGTATTAAATGGGTATGTGTCCTCCTCTGCAGCTTCTGGTACAAAGCTGGACATTTCATACACAGGGAATCCCAAGTCCTGAGTGTTATACAAGTCTGGAAATTAAAAAACAAAAACTTAAGGCCAAGCGTAGGCATAACTTTCAAAAATAACTGGTGATTAAGAGGCCTGATTTTCAAACAACACTGAGCACCTGCACTCTGGAAAAAAAAAAAGGCCCCTTAAAGGTGCCTTATGTTGGACAGGCCTAAACTATGGCATCCCAAATCATGAATCTTGCCCAGGATTTTCAAAAATAAGAGACTATATTTAGGCTGCTTAATCCACAGGCAGACAGATTTTCAGACCTGCAGAACATCCCAGTCTTCCTCCAACCGTGCTGTCACCTAGCCAGATCATGTGTTTGATAACATAGTCTTCCAACCAAAAATATCGAATCCCATGGTGAGCGTGCCTGAAAACTCCTATAGCCCCCCTGAGGTAAACTAATTTAAAAGGTCAGAGGAGGGGAAAAGCAGAACATTCAGAACTCTGATACTACAGGTGAGGCATAAGATATTGTCCAGAAAGGGAACAGATTAGGCACCAAATGCATGAAAGAAAGATTAAGCTTCTTTTCAAGGCCTTCAGTTACTAATCTCACTTTACAGGAAGGTTTTAAATTAGTAAAAGGCTGCTGGAATTAATCACAACAAACACAGAATGATTGTGAAACACAGGAACAATAAGACCTCTGTATCATCATCTTCATTTCAGCTGCTCTCTCTTTCTCGCTGGAATATTTTTAAGGCACCAGTTACTGAAGTGCCTACTGCCTGTCTCTCTCACTCTCTCAGACAAGTGTAATGGACATTTTAGGGATTTAAAAATTAGACTCCTGAACGCTTCCACATCATTAAAACAATGTAATAAATAGTAGTACTTGGGTAACGCCTTTCATCAGCTGATCTCCAAACACTTTGCTAAGGTAGCGACAGATTAGAATCTTCACTTTACAGGTGGGGAAACTGAGGCACAGGGTGGTGGGGCCACTTCCTCGATGACTACTTGAAGTCAGTCGCTTCTGAATGCTCACTCCAGCTATTTCAGTTTGCAAAATGTTTGGTGTTGACCAAATGTTCTCCCTTATGCCAAATCTGTGTTTTCTCTTTTTTTTATTTTTTTGCAAGGATTATGAGTACCCTCTTCATTCTCACAGCGCCCACTACCAGAAGAATGACCGCTGCCCCCCGCCCCCGCAGACTTTACCAGAGCGAGCATGTGAGGTGCCCAGCTGCCGTTCAGATTCCGAATGTGAAAGACACAAGCGTTGTTGTTACAATGGGTGCATCTATGCCTGCTTAGAATCAGTACAGCCACCTCCAGGTATGGTGGGCTGTGAGATCAAACTGCTTCAGAAAGAAATGTCCATGATGTTGCCCAGATACAAATAGAAACAGCTGCAATAACAATAGTAGGCTGTAAAACGGGGGTATATCCCCATATATATTAGGTCTAAAATAGGACTTGGGGTTTGAGCCTAAATGAAGAACTAAGCTCTGGTTCCATGGCGGCGAATAGTTGAAAGCTGCCCTGGTGTGATTTTTGGCTCACGAGAGAAGAAGTTACACACGATCTGTTGATCTTGCAAGATTTCCACCAACTTGAATGGCAGAAATCACGAGATCAGTTATTTTCACTGTATTATACATTAGCCCAAGTTCATGGCCACATGGCTGGTAATGAGAGAGAGTGGACAATTTTTGAATTTTCAAAATTTAAGTGAAAACTTTGAAAAAAAAATCTGAGACCATTTTTTTGCTGGTCTTCAATCAGTTTGGAACTTTTCCAAAATTCAAAATTATGACAAAAAGTGTTTGGAAAAGGTTTTCTGCATTTTTCCACCAGTGCTGCTGGTAACTTTTTATAGGAAAGACCAAACTGCTTTAACCAGCTACTTGCCAAAGTCAGAGATTTTGATTATTGTTGAGAGCTAGCTTCAGGACAGTCATTTTTCTTTTTATTCTAGTGGATACTCTTAATGTTGCAATGTGTTTAGTCTCTGCCTGTAGATGAATTTATTTGAAAAGTTTGAGCAAAATCCTTTCTTCTGTTTCCAAGTTAAGGGAGAGTTCAAGGAGATCTTCTTTTCCAACTGTGAAATAATTCTAACACCATATTTTTAAAGAGACGGGTGGTCTACGCTTACTGCAGCGTGTACAGATGCTGCACGCCCAGTTAGTACAGGTATAAATAGCAGCGTAGATGGTGAGGCACCGCTTAGGTAAGTAGAGTAGAGTAAGTGCCCTGCATGCCTGAACCCCCGGGGCACGTACCCTACATGGCTGTCTACTTACCCAAGCAGTACCTACCATGCCTACGTTGCTATTTTTAGCAGTATAGTGTCTTGCTGCCGGAGCCTTTCCCCTCTGCAGTGAAAGGCTCTGGCAGTGGTGAAAGGCTCCGGCAGCTCCCCACTGCCTCCTCCCTGCCAGAACCTTTCCCGTTGCTTCCCAGCTGCCAGAGACATTTGTTGCCATGTTGAGCTACACACTGCGGTGACGAGTATGGACACAGCCTGTCTGCCATGCAGTGGGTAGTGGCACATGTAATGCCTGTACTCTACACTCCGACATAAGTTTAGACATAGCCAAGGATACAGTAAAAATGGCTTGAAACTTGGCACGGACATCATTCTCATTGAACTATGACTTCTCTTGGGTTACACAGGGAGCAAGAAAGAAGCTTCTGAGCGTGCTCCGGAGGGTATTTGCTATGACTTTTAGCAGCACTCAATGACGCCCTATCCACTTTGGGGCCAGATCTTACAAGGTGCTGAGTCATGGCTCGATCCAAAGCCAACGGAAGTCAATGAGAGTCCTTCCATTAACTTCAATGGATTTTGGATCAGGGTCTCAAAGGTTGCTCAGCATTTTGCAGGCTTAGGCCCTTTGTGCCGCCACGTTGCAGGGGTCCTTGATATGACTGCTGCAATCAGGCTGCGGCTGGGACATTTTGAATGATTGTGAATGTAAATACGTCACTGAAACACACACAGCAAAACCCTCCCTGAAGAACTCCACCTGCCTTATCATCAGGGACTGGAGAAAATCAGTGGCATGAAAATAATTGTGTGCCCTGTGACTGCTCATCCTTAACAATGTGGATTTTTTAATAGTTTTAGACTGGTTGGTGCAGCCGAAACCACGTTGGCTTGGAGGAAACGGTTGGTTGTTAGACGGACCCGAGGAAGTTTTACAAGGTACCGTGAGAGCAACTCGGCATTTTAATCACCTGGGCATTGTGGGTTGTTGAATTCTGCAGGACGAAGGACACTGATTTGGAAAATAATATGCAAGTCAGATGCAGTTCAATGCCAATAAATCAGCCCTTTTTCGAGGGAGAATAGTAAGTACTGTGGTTTCAGTTCAGAGCCTCAGGCTCCTCTGAAACACCACTTAATCAACTTTGCAGACTCAGTGTTAGCGTGGAAAGAACACGTCCTGTAAACTCATTGTCCATTAAATGAGATACGGATGTACAGTGCAAAAGGCCAAATAATAACCGATTTGTGATTGTACCCCATGTGGAAAGGTGACTCCAGGGCCTGTGAAGTGAACAGTATTTCAAATCTAGAGCAAAAGATTTGTTTTTAATATACAGCTCTGCTGAAAGCCTCCTTGGTAGGGGCAAAATTCTCCTCTTCTGTCTGCCATGCAGATGCATAACCAGTGCTCATTAGTGTATGAAAATGTGATTAATGTCAGGGAAAGTGATGTGAACAGGATGAGCAAAGAATATACCCAATGCAACTTGTAGAAGAAGATTTTGCCCTCAGAGTCGGGTGTGACATGATACTATAACCTGACAATACAATATTGCATGTCATTCTGTATGCGCGGGTGTTTGGGTTAGATGGACGGGTGAATAAGGGAGAGCCATTTCCTTCCCAACTAAATAGAACTGATTTACGTGACTCAATGGCGAGATTAGTTTGTGTGATGTATTTGGTGACAAACACGATCCACTCCTATTCAGGCTTACACAGTTTCATGTAGCCTTTATTTTGTACATTTTAAGACAGTTCTGTTGCCACCTATGAATGACCTGGGTGAGGTAATATCTTTTATTGGCTCAACTTCTGTTAGTGAGAGAGACAAGCTTTCAAGCCACACAGAGCTCTTATCTTATCTTGCCTCTCTCACCAACAGAAGTTGGTCCAATAAAAGATATTACCTGATTCCCCTTGTGTCTCTAACCTCCTGGGACTGACACAGCTACAACTACGCTGCATATACATGCAAAAACAGATAAGCCCAGGAAAGTAATTGATCAGGTTACCTCTCCTGGCACACTACCCATCAGTACCCAGCCTGGGCTGTGGAAGCTAATGATCCAACCAGTGATGAATCCTGGTCATGTGCTACCTGAGGAACATTGTGTATACGCAAAGAAGAAGGGACAAGGTGACTTCTTTTGCAAATCTCTGGCCTCTGCTATGTTCTTCCGCTGTGTCTTCTTCACTCTCTGGTTGTCTACCACTGTCTTTTATACCCTGTTCCGTGACTTTACTCAGACTCAGTTACCTCATCTGTGTACCTACCCATTCTAAACCCGACTAAACATTTTTATGCCTAAATCATAACTAACCAAAATGAATACATTTTTGCTTACCCTGTTAAAACTTTTTTTTGTCTACTTCTATACTGATCTCCTTTATATTCGCTGCTGTTAATTTTACTGGCGCCATCTAGTTTTATCTTACTGGTTTGTTTTTGTGACCTTGGGTTTTTGCTTGTTAGCTTCTCTTGCGGGGCACCTGAAGTTAACAATTCCCTCATGACGATCTGTTCCACCCTGTTATTTCCATAGATAAGGCTTTACAAAGCAAGACACACAAACTAGGTTTCATGGTTTACATAACCCTGAAGCTGTTACAACTAAGCTCTGAAATGTTGCATCAGCAGGGACACACAGAAAAGCCAAAATTCCTTTATATTTTTCTACTCTCTATTTCTCCAACACTGTTTAATATATATATATTGGACTAACACAGTTCATTGCACTGTTTTCCAACTGATGCTTGAGATGCACTTTATTCAAACAACGAGTTTTAGATTAATAGATTTCAAGGCCAGGAGGGACTATGGTAACCTTCTAGCCTGATCTCCTCTATAACACAGGCCAGAGGATTTCACACAGTAAATTCCTGCATCAATCCCTTGAGCAAGTCATGCCCCTGATCTGTGCCTCAGTTTCCCCATCTGTAAAATGGGGATAATGATACTGACCTCCTTTGTAAAGTGCTTTGAGATCTACTGATGAAAAGCTCTATGTAAGAGCTAGATGCTATTATCTTTATATCATTTGTATAGTATCAGCTTCCAGCCACTCGATTTTGTTAGGCTTGGTCTTCTAAATTAAAGACCCCTCTATTATCAGAAATATTTTCCCTGTGTAGGTACTTATAGATCATGGTCATGTCACCTCTTAAATAAAGATGAAATCATATCCCATTACCAATTCTCTGAGCCATGCAATCCCACCTCAGTTGAGGGAGATGGGATCTGATCACAGGCCTGGAAAGTAGGAACCTGAGAATTGTCATTCCCAACCCTGACACTGACGCCCTTGGTGGCCTTAAGCCAGTCTCTTGGGACCTGATTTTCAGATTCCAGAAGTTGCTCATGCAGTTTCGTGTGTGTTTCGCATGCATGCACAGCTGAGCATGCAGAATGTAGGTTCCTAAAGTAAGCGCAGGCCTGAAATCTGAAAATCAGGCCTTTCACCTCATTGCCTCAATTTCTAGATGTATAAAGTGAGCATAAAATGATCTGCCTCGCAGGTTTGTTTAATTAATCAATGGTTCTAAAGTACTCGGACAGTCTTGCTTCAAGGCTTATTAGAGACCAGGATGAGACCTAAGAAATGGGGCAGATTATCCCACACCTGTCTACTGTGGGGGTCCTTCCACCTTCCTCTGAAATATCTGTGGCTGGTCACTATCAGAGACAGGATATATGGATGCCAGCTCTGATCCAGACTGGCAATTCCTAATGAGAAAAGTCTGCCTTCAACTCCACTGACTTCACTAGGGTTGTACAAGTGTCAGTAAAACATACCTCTCCTCCCCCCGTATTTATTTTTGACTCTTATTTTATTTGATCACAGCTGAATGGAGCAGTTAGCAAGAAGGGCTCCAGAAGTGAGTACCCTCAATCAAGGCATGGGCATTATCGGAGACTCTCCTGAAATTAAAATTCCAACAAATGAAAGCAAGAAAGTGTGGGGTGGTCTTGTGGTTAAAGTACAGAAACAGGCGTTAGAAGTCCCAGGTTCTGTTCCTAGCTCTGACACACACTTGCTGCATAACCTTGGCCATGTCACTTAACCTCTCTGTGCTTCAGTTTCCACATTTTACAGATGGGGATAATACTGGGTTACCCCACAGGAGTCATGTGTGAGAATCAATTCATTAGTTAATAGATGTAGAGCATCTTGAATATTTTGGAACCATTTTGCCTTGCTGTGCCCAGCGACCTCTGGGCACAGAAGGGGAGAACTACCAGGGAGTTGGTAACGGTTCCCTCGTTCTTGACCCAATCCCGGGTGCTGCTTAAAGCAGCTTGATGGCTGCTCTAAACTGTGCCAGCTGGTAACAGTCCTGGAGAGGCCACCCACTGTTCAGAGCACGGCCAGCAACCCCTCTTTTCCACCAGTCCCCAGCCCCAGCACACACCCTGTAGAATGGGCCGCGGGAAGAACGGAAAGGCAGCTAGCTAGCTTGGTTCCACAGCTGCGGGGCACTCCCCCACATCAGGGACTCGCCAGTGAGCGGAAGCAGTCATTCTCCCCTCTCTTTGAGTGGAGTAAAGCAGACAGCACGTTGTGTCAAGCTCTCTATACGTGTTAAGTATTCCGTATGATTGTTTGTAAAACACTTTGAGCTCTTGGTCTGGGAGGGGCTACGGAAGCACACAGCAGGATTCTCCTTCTCCGGCTCGCCCAGCGTAATCAGATCTAGGTTTCTGACACGCAGGCTTGTTTTCCAGCGGAGGCCTGTAGCACCACTGAGGATGGGGATGAGCCACTGCATTGCCCTACAGGATATGAATGCCACATCATCAATCCTGGCAACACAGCCGAAGGGATCCCCAACAGGGGTCAGTGCATCAAGCTACGTGGAAATCCCGGTCAGTGCATTCAAAAACATCCGTCCTCGCTTGCTCTATCCAACTTAGGGGCTATGCTGAGGGGTCTCTCGCCTGCCCTGAGGCAAATAACAGCTCAAAATGTCAGGTCAAGCTAAGTAGAGTTCCTGGGTTTTCACGTCCTCCCTCTTTTAATCCCGGGTTTCTTCAGCGATGTATCTGATCTTTCCACCATGGCTCCATCACACTTCCATATGACAAAGGAAATGTTCCTGCTGCATTGAGTGAACATCATTCCCCCTTGCAGCCTCTCCATTGCCTGCTGTCTCAGTCGAGTGGATGCTTTAGAAACCAAGTCTCGCACGCACGTGGTGCTGGCAACCAAGTCGTTGCTCTGGCCTTAAAAGAAAATGCCATAAGATCAAATATGTGAGCTAAATTCAGGGGGGTTAGGGAGTGGGGGAGTTCAGCGTGAGATGAACACCCTGTATAAACGTGGGGGGCTAACATCTAGTTATACATTAGCCACCCCACAAAGAGAACAGTAGTTTGCCATGATGTAACTGGGGGGCAGACTGTGGAGCATATGTTTTTGTGACTAGTCTTTACTGTGTGTTCTTTTGATCATACTAGTATGATACTCAAGGATAAGGCACCATGAGGATGCCATTTAATTGGAGGAACCACTGAACAGTTAAAAGCTGTCTATGTGTAACGCCTTAAATTACAAGAGAAAATTAAACTGCTGCCTTTGAGAATCAATACAAATAGCTCATGTTCATGGTCTTTCAGGGCTTCTGGAAAGGTGCTGACTGACCTCAATCCCCATGGAAGCCAAAGGGAGTTGAGTGTTCGGCATCATTCAGGATCAGCCCCTAAATAAATCCTAGCAGCAATTCACTTTTCTCCATGTTTGCAGTACATGACATTCTGGACTGTAAGCCAAATTCTCAGCACAGCTCCACTGAGCTCTTTCATTTACTTGACATCAATAGAGCTAGGCCAATTGACAAGCTGAGGAATAGGCCCTGTAAATGTATTTTATCAATGTCTGTGTGTTTGCATTTTGGCTGGGACAGGAAAGCATTTCTTCCCATCTACAGATGATAGTAAACCTCAGCTCCTTCTTTTTAAATATCAAACAGTAAAGTTCTTAAACGACAGTAGAAAAATCAAGATGGAAATTGTTTTCTGTCATCTGACCATAGTTTCTGTTGTTGTCTGAGTCACAAAGATCATCTTTTTTTTTTCTCCACTGGACTGTTTGCCAATAAGGGAGCTCACACATGTATAACATGTGTTTAACACACATCTGAGTGTAACACAGATGTGTTTTCTGAGACTGTTTTCAACCTGTACAAGAGTGTTTAGCTTCTCGGAAAGATTAATAGACTATATACTCTGATGCAACTCATCACAGGCCAAAAACATCAGCAGCCCCTTTTCCTACTTAACCACAATAAAATCCAGTAGAAGTATCAAACCAGAGCCCTCTTTTGTTGTTGGTTTTTTCTGGTAATAAAGACTAAAGGCTTAAGAATTTCAACTTCCTTTGCCTTTCTTGTGTCTTTTGGGGTTTTTTTTTAAATGTCCTCTAGTCCAGTTCTTCTCAAAGCCGGTCCGCCACTTGTTCAGGGAAAGCTCCTGGTGGGCCGGGCCGGCTTGTTTACCTGCCGCATCTGCAGGTTTGGCCGATCGCGGCTCCCACT